TGGTAAAATATGTTTTTACATGTCTTGTGAAGACATAGGCCTTGTTCGGCATTGAGATTTTGGGGATGTTTGAGAATTTTGTGTGTTTTTAAAAAAATATGATTGTTATTTTTTAAATATTTCTCACTGCATTAATATTTACTGGTAATTTGTGTATATTATTACATGTGTGAGTACATGTGCTTTAAATTATTTCCTATACTTCCTGAAAACTTAAATTTTTTTTTGTGGAAATGAGCTCAAATGCCTGAATTTTCAGAAACACTCAAATGAGATTTTCTCAAAGACAGCTCCCAATTTTTTCTTACACTTTTGTATGGAAAGGGCCAAACTCACTTAATAATATGACATTAATGTCACTTTCATGAATTCTTTTGTTTTTTCAAAAATTATACCAATGTAATTTTTTTAAAAATATCTCTCACATCGTTACTATTTTTATATTACAGATGTTATTTATGCATTATTGCATTTGTGAGTAGAATTGTGTAATATTATGTCCAATGAAGTTTGTTTTAACACTCAAAAGTTCACAGTAAAAATGTTCTCAAAATTGCGCTTTTCTAGAAACACTTAAACATGTTCTCAAACATGACATAATTTACATGTAGAATCACATTTCTCTCACATGTAATATTCTTAAAGTCATATTTTAGTTCTACTTTTAGGAGACCAAAAAATGTAGAAAATGATAAAAAATGGCCCTTCTGTGGCAATGGATGGCAGCTGGCAATATTGAAAAGCTACCCCCTGTTTCCCGTTCTGTAGCATCACTAGTTACGTTTATGATGATAGTAACAGTGTGTTCATACATTTTCGACTCTGAACTAAAAAATCAAATTCTATACATTCAGGAATGATAGAAATATTCTCAGTAGTGAAGGAAGAGGAGTTTTAATAATTTAAAAGAAGTTTCAAGTTTTGAGCTAAATTGTTCTGTAAATGTTGATCATCTATATGTATGCTCTTCTATTAGTAATGCTAACTTAATAGTAAGAGTGCGCTATTTGCTGCCTTTGGCTACTGAACTTGTATTTCAAACTTATTGCGACACTATTTAATTATTGTACAATAATTATCGGGATATCAATTTGTTTCTTTTTGGAGATGACAACTTAACAAATGTTGTTTGAGTAAATGGAGATTATGTAAATTTCCCTGTTTTAAAACAAAAATGTACACTGCATGAGAAGTCAGTCTCAAAAATATTGCCAGATACAGTAGGTTATTTCTTTCCTAGAATCTTTAAAGTTGTTTCAAGTTACTACGGTAAAAGATCATGATGTAAATTGGATTTGATTTTTTAAAACATGAGTATCATTGACATATTGACATCAACTTGACTTGCGTCGAATGAATCTATTATGCTTAATGATGTCTATCCTCCTACACTAATGATCCAATATTCAATTGCATCATTTGATGTTGGTATTGATTTTAATGACTGTCTTTGATTTTTTTATTTATAGATTATAGTCAATAATTTATCTTGGTCAAATCAATAATTAACACATTTGATTGATTATACAAGAACTGATGAATTATTTTATGCTTGACTGTACTACACTATGAAGTTATATATTCCAAAGAAAAGACTGCAAATCTAAATTTCCCTCATAGTACAGTGCTGAACTGAAGAAGACAATATTAAATAAACCAAGGTTCCATAAAGAGTATAAATAACATAATTTCAAGAGCAGTTATCGTGAATTCTCTAATCGTGGGCACAGACACACAAAAGTCATATGTCAAATGTTCATATTGTTTTGTCCAACCCCTAATGGTTCAGGGCAATTGTAGAGCATACTCTACGAAATCACCAAAAGTAAATTAACTTTTTTTACATCTTGGGGGGGGGACAAAGGAACTAACAACAAGCCCTAATCAGATCGCGAGCTATTTTGAAATGATATTGAAAATTTAATTTTGAAGATCCCAAAATATTTGGTCTCACATAAATTCCAAATGTTCATAAATGAGATTACCAAACATTAAGTATTTTAATTCTGATTCATATAGGGATGGACATTTCATTGTTAATGCATTAAGCTGATTATTTTCAATCATTTTATAAACGAGGCCTACCTAATGACTTTAAACTTATGTGTTCAGAACAACTTTTTCAATTAGTAGCACTGATTTTTAAACAATAGATATAATAAATAAAATTAATAATCTTCATGTTGATAAAAGAGCTGACACTATTGGTGTACCTCCCATACTTTTGAAAAATTGTGACTTTATTTTTGTATAAAAACTAAAGATATTATTTGATAAATCACTGACGGAAGGAATTGTAAACTTTTGATTATGTGAATCATGATGTACTAGAGCAAAAAAATCTTGTTTTTGGTATAATACGTTCTTTGTATAGTTGGTTGTGCAGATATTTAATAGAGTTCAAAAGGTAAAGTAGAAAAAATGTACATTTAAAGAAATTATAGTTTTATATGGTGTGCCTCAAGGGTTTTGTCTAGATTATCTATTATTTATTACATTTATTAATGCCTTGAATGCAGTCATAAAGGATGTAGAGTACTTATTTCTTCTGAATGATTTGGATGTTTTAATTTTACAGAAAGCAATTTTTGCACTTTTCAGTGGTCCAAGGAAAATAACATGATTCTGAATGCAAATAATGTAAAAAGATAACATGAAAACATACTCTAAATTTAGAAATGATATTGTTCACAGGTATACTATTGATGGTTTTGACTTAGAAACTGTACACAATTAAGGATCGTGGAGCGATTCTTAGTTGAACGAGTTTTAGTGATATCATTAAAATGATATTAAGGGTTCACAACAACTAGACTTCATGAAAAGAACTTTTGAATTAAAAATCTCCATGGTCATTCAATAGACTTTAACAAGATGTTTTTAGAGTCTTACAGGGAATGTATATTTAATTAAATACATATTTTTACAGTAACAAGATGTCTGCATTCAATACAATTTTTTAGAGTTTAGACATTCTAAATGTATTAAAACTATTTTCATTTTACATATTTTACATAGTTTTGTAAACTTTTACATGTTTACTTATTGCTACATTTTTCTTATGTTAAGTTATATTTACACTTTACAAACAGAATATTTCTTATAATGGTTTGCTAATATTTTGTTACTGCAATCATATTTCTTAGAAAGTAATGTAATTCTTTGCTTGTATAACATGGGATCTTTGACGTGAATTGTCAAACTCTCTCCCCCACCCTTGTCTCCTGGAAATCAAGGAAGAGCTCTTTTAAACTCTACAATGATTACAATTTTTATTAACAATTAAACAATACAACTCTACAATTTTATTTTTACATATTTTTAATTTTTTAACATAATTTGAAAATGTATTTACATATTTTGCTTTTTCTATTACAATAAATTCCATTCCCTAATGGTCACTCTGGTGTGATGTTCTCTGACAGATTTCATCCCTTGAACTACCCTAAAATTACTTTATTATCGATCTACTAACTTTCTTTGATATTTTTATTTATTTATTTATTTACTACGCAATTTGTCCTATTTACGTACCAAGGTCAATCCGTCATGATAATTTTTGGTTTTTATGTTGTGAGTTAGACAAGACTATCTCTACAGATTCTCGGTTCTGAAATTTACATAACAATATTTACTCTTTTCTTTCTATTCAGGTTTTGGGGATTTGGTTTACCATTACTAATCATAACAATACTTGTTTCAAAAACCAAATGAACATTGTAATTCCTGTTCTTCAGATATCATAAATAAATAACACAATCTGAAAAAGACAATAAGAACTCTGTTGTTATGTAATATTTTCCCATTATTTATCCCCCCCTTGCGTGCATGGCCATTACCCCTTTTTGATCTTAACTTAAAATTTACTAATTTATTCCAAAACTGAGTCTTCATTCATTATTAAAACTTTCTGTGTCCCTAGTAAGAACTTCCCCGTTCTAGTCCCCAGCATTCTTGACCATCATTCACACGTCCATTTAAATTTTTATTTTAATCGTGGCAGCTCCTTCTTTACAAACACAGTTTTATGTCCCGTTCCACTTATAACATTTTTGCCAATTAATAAAATTTACTCCATGGATTTGTTTATGAAATTGGAAAACACTCACTCAACAATTGATCATCACCGAGTTGTAACACGTTCTACCATCCGATTGCCACCACCTCAGAGTCCTTTCTTTGTGTTTTAATTTTTTTTCACACGCTCTTCTTTTTTCTGGTTTGCAAAATCTCGAATTCTAGTATGTAATGACCAATTACAATTTGTAAACAAGAAACTGTTTATTACAAATTTTTGCAGAATCCCTTCCACCATGTTTTGGTGTATTGGATCCTTTCATTAATCATATTTATAGTTATTCATTGTTATTGAATATTCCTTTCTTATATTCTTTAAGCATTTGTAGTGACTTCAATTTTTTTATAATGCAGTTTATTAAAAAATTGATTGCCCCTTTTTTGTAATATATGAACTTTAATGCTTATAACAGGATTACTACATCACATTACCCATTTGTACTTTAGTTGACGGTAAAGTCACACTGATAGCTTAAGTTGCACTGAATAATCCTTTAAATTGTGTATCCTTTAAAAATGTATTAACATAATTGTAATTATGTTAATACATTTTAATTATGTTAAATTTTGAAATTTTTGGATGTAGATGTAATGCATATTGAAAGTTCTTTGCATTCTGATCTGAGTTTTGAATAATCTTGTAATAATTTATAACTATTATTTTTGTTATTTTTTTATTTGTTACATTTCCTTTGAGCTTCTACTGCCCATTATCAAACCATTTTTGTAAAATTGTATTTTAATCTGGACTTATATTGGTTAAATTAAAATCAATGTGTGTTTGGAGGTGGTGAGTGGAGAAAGGGGGCAGTGCATTGGCAGATGTGTGGGCTTGGGAGTGCGTGTATACATACCAAATTTTTATTTCTTTTTTGTAATGTCTTAAGTAAGCTTTTTTCTAGCTCAATTCTCTCTGTTTTCAGAATGCAGATCACTCAAAACTTGATAGTTCAGCTCCCATTGAAGTAGTGGATTTACGAAGATGAAATTCCACCACTTCATTATAGGAGAAATTCTTGAAGTGGTGTTGGAATAAATATGCTTTAGAGGTATTTTGAGGACACACAATGCACACCATTCAGGCTTCCTTGAGTCATTTGCCTTTGCAGTTGCGTTTCAAGTGCTTGTACTTTTGACCAGAATAATGAGCTTCTTAATCTTTGTGATGTACAGAATAAGCTCACTACTTAATCTTCAGAAACATTTATATGATAAAGTTGCTGTTTGATCAATTTTGGTTGCATAATTTTTAAAACTAGTTATGGCATAATCACTTTTTAAATATATTGTATTGCTGCATAACTGCAAAGCACTTAACTAATTGTGTGTATGTATGCAAAAACAGTAATGTTTTTACTTGTAATGAGTAGTGTGTGTGTGTTGTTGACGTGCTTGGTACATTTTGAATAGAAGTGTAATGAAGTATTTGTGCATGTCAGTGCCAGGGGCATTGACCTCCAGTTGTGTTGGTTTGCTGCGCAAGGCCTGTCTGCTGGCCTAAGGACTGTTGAAAGTAGCCACCAAAAAGATCATACAGCCAAGCACTCAGTTATTGTTGTTCTAAGAAAAATAAAATTTATTTAAACTAATTTTAGATTTTTTTGTTTTTGAGTGTGATCCCTGAGTGAGTGCTTGGGTGCTGGTGAGATTGGAGGCATGTATTTTTTTTATCCTCTACCTATAAGGAATTGTTCTACATGGAATATCTGGTGCAACTAATATTGTATGTAGTGCCAAATATTTTATACACCAGCTCTAAGATTCACTTGACTGATGTGTGAGGTGATCATTGTTATTTGTGCAATGTACTATTTATTTTTGTACTATTTGTTAAATGTGTAGGCTGGCATTATAAACAGTACCTTTTGTTGTCTCTGTCTTTGTGCCTATTACATATTCGTGTGTGTATATATGTACATATACGTTTGTGTATGTGAATCTCTTGTGTCTCACCAAAGTGTAAAGAACTATATTTTTGTTGTAAAGTGCCATTTGTGAAACTACCACAATATTTATAAAAAATATTATAAATGATATGTTGAGAATCATATTAATATAATCTTAACTTTCATGGAAATGTGGCATAAGCATCTAGACCTACGTTCTATATACAAAAATATGTAGTGCATCAGGACAGTGCACAAACTCAAAGGGAGCCAATACAAACATTTTTGCCTTGTTTTATGAGTTTGGGAGACGTTTCCTTACTACCCAATTTGAGCAAGAAAACTAGGAGGGTGAATTAAAAATGCATACCTCTCAGCATCGTTGCTAACAGCAAAACACATGTACTTAAGAAGTTAAAATAAAAAAAATATTACAAAATAATTTTTATTAAAGCAATTGTGTGAAGTGATCTCCATGTACCTCCAAACAAATTTCACAATAATGGATGGACAGTCTGCCAAAGATTCTGGGAGTGCCACATATGCTGTGCACTGCAGCTGGAGGAAGTGAGCCAGTGATGAAGCTCTGCCTCATAGTTCACACTTGCATAAAGAGGTATTTCCATATGGCCACACAAAAAGAAATCAAATAGGTAAGATCTGGTGAGCGTTGTGGCTGCACTTTCGATTCTGCCTTTCCTAACTACTTGCCAGGAAGTCAATGTATTACAAATTTATAATGCATACTGAAATTGAAAGAAAACTATGCAGCCCCCGGTCATGTCAGGTGTGTTTATAGTTTCGTTTCTTACGCAGCAACTCGGGAAAAAATTCAAAAGCCATGAACCTTTCCTTTTTTTTCTTCGAAAAGTAAAAATATTTGTTTGCTATTCCATCTATCTTGTACTCCGCATACTGAGTGAATTCTTTTACTCAATGCATCACTGCTGATGCCGTGCCACATTAAGGTTCCAAGATAAAGGCAGCATACATACATATACTAGCTTTTCGACAGGCAATCTCGCCATAAAAAATTATATTCACATTTCACGCAAGAAAGCTCACAAGAAAACTAATTGCTAACCCAAGCACAAACTTCTGGGCAATTGCAATTCGTGGTTCGAATTAGACTTATCGGATGCTTTGTGAACAGCGATAGCATGCACAGTTGCCTTTTTTCTGCGCATTCGCGCTGTATTATTGTGTGTTGCTTGTCCTAGTCGTCATGTGCACAGATCTCTCGTGCGAACTGTAAATGTGGCCTGCAGCGAAAAGGAAATTGAGCTTCGGAATTCGGGATTGTTCGTCTGTTAATGGAAAAAGCAATGGCCGAACTGTTTCCGAGGATCATCAGGGCAAGGTTGAAACTTGAAAGAATGAAGTTTGCTTGCACGAAAATAATCCGATCGGGCGTGTACCGTGTATAAAATCTGGAGCGATTGTCTTCGTGCTTGCTGAAGGACGCGTACTCACCGAAGGTTCGAATTGATTTGTGCAGGACCAGCTTATTCAGCCCAGACTCAGCATTCCTGCTGTCAGTGCAGCGATTATCACCGGGAGCTTCTAGAGTTGCACCACCACCTCTCGGGCTACAATAGTCACTACGCTAACGGGACTAATTAACATAGCAGTTGACGTGCCCGAAAACATCAAGTGCTCATTGATGTTTACTACCGTTTGGACAGAACACCGCCAGTTTGTGCTACGCGGTGAAACACTTGAAGGCAACTGCCTCTCTGGTTAGTGCTCGGTATACCATCGCCTTGCTTCATGGCAATTTCCCCGTGCAAGACGACGTACTCCTGCGTAGAATACGACATTCGAAGAGCTGGGCATAATACATTACGTAGAAGATTTTTTGATATTTCTGTAGCACGACTATGAAGTCTTAAAATGGTAGACGAGACAAAACTAGTGGTGCTACAACAGTACATACTTTCTCGCAATATTATGTTATAATTATGAACGACGGAACGTCCATAACCCTTCATTAATATCTAGCAAATTACTCAAAAACTAACGTTTACAAGAAAATATATATGACCTTTTTTAAAGAGCTAATTTTGTACTGCTGACTTTGACAAGTACAGCCAAATGCTAGTACTAGAAAAATCCTTATTTTCAATTTTCGAAATTAGGGAATTCAATGAAAACTGTACTATTCTCTTAAACCACCTTCGCAATACTCAACAAATTTTAATCAAAAAATTTAGGGCCATTTTTTAAACAATATCTCAGGGGCGACATGTAAAGTATCCCCATATTAAAATATCGGTTTTAAATTCCATGGGCCGCGGTATCAGAAAAAATCGGATGGGAAATATCAATTTTGGAGAAAATCGGCTGAACGCTAGCGTTGTGACGGGCAGACACACTTTGCCGACAACTGATTTTTCGTTATCAAGGACCCACAAAACATGGATTCTTGCTACAACACGTGTTAAAGTAATTTTTTCTTCACTTGGCATGGATTTATCAAATTTTTCGTTACCAGGGCTCGGCAGCAAGAGTTTTTGTGTCGAAAATTCTTCGTTTACCGGCGCACGATTACAATACTCTATTTTCTTACGGTAGTAAGTGCGAGAAAGTAAAAATGAACGACAGACAGAATAACTAACATACACTGAAAAAATGAATGATTGGCGCACATTGAAATACGATTCACCCAACCAGAATCAATTGTAAAATTTGTCCCAGCTATTTTTGTGGTTGACGCACCGTAGGCGCCGTGGGTGGACGGCCCTGAACCACCGCAGTGTCCGGTGGTACCCTGGTCTACCGCGAAATTCTGAACTATAAAACGTTTGCCGTTCGTGGAACTTCGGTGAGTGGTTTCACAGCACACATTTTTTCGCTTCAGTCACTACAAAAAATATTTATACTAACAAAGGAATTATTTACATCAACTTACATGAATGCTTGGAGAGTTTTGCCTTGTTTTATACCTGTACCTTTAAATTGTAAATTTGAATCCACAAATTGTTACATTAAATTTAAAAATATTTAAAATATGAAAGCACTGCCTTTTTTTTAACCTGACACTAAATGCAGTTGCTGAATAAATGAGATACATTAAGATAAAATTTGAAATAATTTCATATTATTTTGCCAAATATTTTCTGTACTAACATTTAATAGCAAGTACTGAAATCTAAGTTCCCTACCCAACGAAAAACAAAACAAAATTAAGCAAAACTCAATTAGAAAAAAGTTGTTAATTCATTACTTTGTATTATTTGGTTCCTGGTTTCACATAAGTCATTTGCAATTTGTGGCATACAACCATAAATATATGAAAATTGAAGTTTTTTACATTTCATGAAACTTATTTATTAGTTTTAACCTTTACTTACTGATAGCTGTGTGCTGCAAGTTGCAAATGACTCCAGTGAAACAAGGGTCTGAATAAATTTATACAGTTCAACTCTATCACATTAATCTGATAAATGTTTTGCAGGAATGAAAATCACAAAGAGGAAAATCAATAAATATGATAGTATTTGAAATAAATAAATTTGGAAAATTGATATGAAAAAAACACTTGATAGATATATTTACAAATGCTACATGGTATTTGAATTAATTATCTTTTTATACATTTTCATAATGAACATTTCTCAGCAACAAGTGTGCTCATAAGTGTCCTAGACCACATAAAACTAAACATTACAATGAAGCCAAATTTAATTAGGTTATCTCAGTTCTAAGAGATCCTGATACCAGTTTTGCAACTGAGAATGCTTTATTGCTCACATAGCAAAAACCAGATGTGTGTGCGCATGAACATTTTGGAAGGAACACAGAGCCTGTGTAATAAAAATATTGCATGCAGTGCTTACTCCTTTAGAATCTGGAATATGATCAAGAGATCAAATTAAAATCTATTGTATTTATGCACATTAGTTATTTTATTTAACTTCTAATTATTACTTGTAGGTCTATGTTATACAAAGTTCAAATTAGTCTAGTCAAATAAGTTTTGTTGTCCAAAAATAGTGAGTCAGGAAACAATGTAAGCATTTTTAAAGAATAAATAATAATTACAAAAGAAAATAGCTTTTTGAAATTCATCAATTGTAACCATTTCTTAGCATCAATCCCAAACTATAATAAGCGTTTCCAAATTATAAAGTTTTATTCAGCTCAGTACAATAAAATTTTAACACAAGAGGGCTAAATCCAATCCCCATTTCTTCTTTCTGAAATTACGTTATTGTATTATATGTGAATATTAGAACTGGGACATTAGTATCACATATTCCCTGAAACTGGATAAACATTTGCATTTATGATTTTTTAAAATATTTGTAAAAAAGTGTGAATAATGAATTCTGGCATGTAATGAGGGAACATGATGGTAGTATGAAAATAGTTTTTAAAAGTGGGTCGCTGAGAGATCTCTACTAGCAAATAAATAAAAATATATAAATAAACGTGTTAATTGAAATGAGGCCCACAGGTAGTGTACACATTCCCTGCCATTTTCGTGTGCACATGCCTACCGTAAAAACTCAAATTAAAGTCCATGAAATTTGTACCCCCTCACAATTGAAACTCAAAAAAACAAACAACGAAAAACATTTTTTTAATACTTAATCAAATTGGTTTTAATATTTTGAAGAATAGAATAACAGGTGAGCTTTCACATTAAATTGGGTATAATCTTAATTATTTACTTTTGAAATTTAGTAATTTTTATGTTCCTCCTCAATTTATTCAGTGTGTACCAATTTGCCTTCTTCTTTGGCAACTAATTTTGTATATACACTTTCAGTTACACTTGATAAGGAAAACTATCATTGAAATATTATAAACCTTCATTGAACAAAATTAAGAAATAAATTTTGATATACTTAAGTGTTTGTCTCACATTAAAAAAGGACTGAAAAATATTAGAAAATATAGTTTAAATAGTGACAACCAAATCAAAACTTATTTCTTGTCCTAAAATTTTGTTAAAATTTTCTGTTCTGAAGAAGCACTATCATGCAGTATTGCTTCATAGTTTCAAAAAAATCTTTTGGCATCATGTGTCACATTTGTATTTTAAGAAGTTTATTCTAAATACATTTTCTTAAAGATGAAAACATAGTGAATGTATTCTGAAACATTTTCTCATTTTATAATTTACTCATTCTAAAAATAAAAAAACTATTCCATAAAAATTTTACATTCCTGTTCATAGCCATGAGTTCTCTATCCCAGCCTGAACCATGAAACCTTACGCTATGCATTTAATAATAATTTGTACTCAAAAATAAATGTTATTTGAGTCCCCAAGAAATTGAAAAATGTGCAATAAATATAACTAAATGCTCCAAATTTCTAGAATACACAAAATATACATTGTATGTAAAAAGTTTTGTATCTCAGACTAATATTTTGCTCTGGGACATATGTCAAGTTGGTGAGAGATATCAGCTCCAAACAATTGGCAGT